TACTCCATGTAATCTTTTTTTTTCAATATTTCCAACTCGCTTATTTTTCTTATTCTCTCCCCTAATGTTGAAAAAACTATTTCATCAAAATGACAATCGATAAATCGAGTCGTAAAAATTTCATCTTGTTCATGAATCAAAAGATCGAAGAGGATTCAAATCCAACATATATTCTCAATCTCCTTTAAGTGCTCATTTTATTTCATTATAGATGAGCACTAAGGATATACACTATAATGCCAAAAATCCTTAAACAAGAAATAATTGGTTCATGACCATAAATCAATTAAAGAGGAGAGAATTTCTAATAACTTATGGGTCATATGCGAATAAGTGTTGCTGCATTTAAGATTGCATGTCCCCAAACATAAACAGGGAGTTTTATTTTTAAATAATGGTTTAGCTATCAATTGGAGCCTTTTGATAAATGATTTTGCTAAACCTTTTTGAGTATGAACATGAGCAACAGGATGTTCAACCTTTATTTTAATAGCCAATCAATAATAATTTAATGATTGAGAAATAAATTCATCAGCATTATCAAGGTGACTTGTTTTAATAGCATAATTTAAAAATTATGCTCGAAATCAAATTATTTGCTAGCAATCTTGAAAACGTCGGATTTCGAGTAGATAATAAGCATATATATGACCATCTTGTGGACGTATTTATCAAAATCGTAAAATATTTAAATGGTCTACATGGTGGATAAATTGATCCACATATATCACCTTGAATACATTCTAAAATATTGGAGATTCAATCTCAATTTTACTTGATGATGACTTAATCATCAACTTGTCTTGGCAACATGCGAGCACATGAAAGTTCATTAAATTGAAGAATCTTCTAGCTCTTCAATAGATATTCATATAATTTTTTTTTTAATAATTTTTTCACATCATGAAAGACCTAAGATAACATAACTGGTCATGTCATATAATAAAAGTATTTGAATTAGTAAACTTCGGTTTACTACAATATTTGTTTCGATCATTTCAATATTTGTAACAAAGACTAGAAGAGAAAACGGATAAATTTTTTTGATAGATATTTTCTATCCGATATATTGATTATAACATATAAGTATTCACATTTGCTATCTTGATATGATATCAATTCGGATGAATATATTTGAAACTCAATAAATTTCTATGAGACTTTGAAGAGAATAGTACATCATTTATAATAAATTTATCATTTCGGATAATAACATATTTGCTCTTCTTGAGCCTTTAAATTATGTTACTTCAAGCAATAGTATATCGACTCTTCCGGAGCCTTTAAAAGTTGTCTCTTCAAGTAATAATATATTTGCTCTTCTAGAGTCTTCAAAATTTATCTTTTCGAGTCATAATATAATCGCTCTTCTAGAGCCTTAAAAATTTATCTCTTTAGATAATAATATAGTCGCTCTTCTAGAGTTTTCTATTATATTGATATTATCATATATAATATTAACATAAAATAAATTATCAAATAAATCAATATAAAATAAATAAATATATATATTCCTCATAAACACAAACAAATAAATAAATAGTAAAATAAATTTGTAACCATCACTATACAATATAAATTATTAGAAATATAAAATATTTTATAAATAGAAAAAAAATAAGTAATTAATTTCAATTATTATTACTTTGATATATAAAAGTGACCTTCATATTTTACTCTTTATTTTTCAATAAGGCTTGACAATGCTTAACGAGGTGCTTTAGTGTACGACGAGTACACGATCAATATTCATCCATTCCATATAACATTCATTTTCAGAATGATGACTTTATCTATTTTCATTCTTTTCTTTTGTTCATAGTTATCCACTTCGGTGGTAAGACGTAATATTATGGTCATCACAATTATAATGATAATTATTTTGACAACATCCATGGCTATGACTACATCTTCGTCCATGCCTAAAATTATTATAAATTGTCACATTCACTTCGGGGAATGGAATAGATCCAATTGGACGAGATTTATTCTTTTTTATCAATAGCTTTTTATTTTATTTAGTCATGAGCAAATATGAAATCGATTTAGAATATTTCTTAAACTCTTTTTCTTGATATGCTACCGTAGGAGCATATTCGAGGCATGAAAAGTAGATGATATTAACTTAGCATCAAACACTCATGATCAATAATTCTTGCCCAAAATGTCAAGGGCCACAAAATCAAGTTTTATGATGGTTGATAAGATATCATTAAAATTATATACTGCAAAGTATAATAATAAAATTTAAATAAAAACAAATATAATAATAATATTTGAACTTTTCAAATAATATATATTAAATTATTAGATTCTATATATTAAATCATTAAAATTTTTCAAATGTATATTCTATGTATCATCAAATTTAAAATACATAATAAATTAGATACATACCTCTTAATGATCTAAATAATAATTTAGATCCAATTGGTAGAGCACTTATGCAAAAGAAATCCAATGGTTGAAACAATTAATTAAGTGTTTTGGTAGATACATACCTCATGGTTTATTATCTCGATTGGTTAGAACTTCGTGCCGATAACGTGTTATAAAATAAATAGAAATGATAAGAGATTTGAAGAAAAGGATGACAAGAAAATGAAATCACTATAATATGAATATGAGTGATAAGAACTTTAACATTTCTCTTATTCTCTCTAGGAAACTTGTACATCAACAAATGAACAATCAAGCCTATTTATAGGCCTCAAAATTGAGATGAGAATTGGAAGGGACTATGAATAATTAAAAGTACATCAATTGCATCACCCTTTTAATTTCTCATATTGAATAGTGAATTGAATCATATTAATAAGCATGAGTAGTGAGGATATGAAAAATAGATGAATATGATGATGGACATTCATTATTTCATAACAATTACAAAATATTGAATCCTAATTCTCTTGGATCACTCCCTCTTAGGTCTTGTCACAAAACTTCTATCTTTTTTTAAGCTCATAAAGAGAGAAGTAAGCCATACGTGACCTTAGAAAAAAGCCAAAGTCCGTGACGCTATACTCATTCTCTTTTATGTAATAGCTCACACTCGGTGCTACTAGAACATGGTCCAAAAATTGAATTTCGAGTGCCTAAAAGATACATAATAATAACTTCTTGATACCCAATAAACTTTGAGATAAACTTTTGGCCAATTAAAAGTTGGGTATATGTTACCGGTCTCTTTAATAATGGGTTTCAACCCTATTCCACTAGTTGTTTTTCTTTCCACGTCTCTAGATAATCCGTTCATGAACAGATCTATCAAATTATTCACGGAATTCACATAGATAATAGTGATTCCACGTACCACTCGGTATTCAACTCTCAAACATATCCATGTTAAATACTTATATGTCTAAATATTACTATATGCTCTAGACATAGTTTCTTTACTATCATAGTACAAAGAAATAGCTAGCATTAGTTGTGGTCATAACTTGACATCTAACACTAGATTTCTTAGTCATTCCGCTTTTTTACCGGATAACCAAAGCTATAAATTCTTACTCTATAGAAGAATATGAGATGCAAGTTTGTTTCGTAGAGGTCTAAGATATTGTGCCTTCAAGAGTAAAAATACATCATGATGTGGACTTATTATCATTTGAAGTAGTTATCCAACTTGCATCGTAATATCCTTTTAACATTATTGGAAAATCGAATAAAACAAGTCCAAATTGATCGTCTTTTTGAGATGCCCTAAGAATCTTGAAATGGCCTTCCAATCATCCGTACTAGGCTTTTACTTATATATCTTGATAGTTTGCACACAACAAAAGCTATGTCCCATCTTGTACAATGCATAGCATATTCTAGTTGTGCCCCTATTCTCTCACAATTATCACTTAACTTCTCACCGGAGTCCAATGAAGTGTTAGCCTCCTTTATATTGAAACTATACGACTATTAATAAAACAATCAAGTTTGTGAATTAAATTAAATAATTTTTTTATTCGGTTTAATTCTAGCAGCCACATCTACTAATAAATTGATTTTAAAAATTATGCCAATAAATTAATTTTAAAAAATTAATAGAAAAACTTAAAAATCACATCTATTAATAAATTAATTTCAAAAAATTCTGCCAATAAGTTAATTTTTGATATATGAACACAAGAATCATTAAAATATTTATAGAATATTTATTCCATTATGATTAAAAGAGTATTATCAAGATATTATTCATAGAATAATCACATTGGAGTAGAATTTGAAAATGAAGATATTCTTAGTTGGATTTTTAAATTCTAAACTAAATTCTTATTTAGAAATTGAAATAAATAATTTAATTAAATTTAAATAGTTAAATTTAAAAGCTTTTGTAGAACAATCTAATTGATAAAATTTCCTTTTTTTTTTTTTTAAATTTAATTAGTAGTATCTCTAGAGTTCATTTCTTCCCCATGCTAGGAGGGAAAGAGAAAATGTAAAGACCACCATAAAAGCAGCCCAAGCTAGACTTTATATATCCATTTGAATTATAGCCCCTACCTACCTTTATGATTAATATAAAAAATTCTGCCAATAAATTAATTTTCTTGGCAATGTTAATTCCAAGTGGCCATTGCTTATATACTAAATCCATTAAGTATTCTAATAGAATCATATACTAATATTGTAATCATTTAACCAACAAGTTGTTGGTGAGTGACAAGCAATATGGTCCCGAATAAATTTTTTTTTATAAATATGCACGAATTTAAAAAATATATTTAAAAAAAAATTAAATTTTATCCTTTTCGTCCCAACAAAATTAACTCTATGTTTGATGTGAGATACCTGATTAAAAACTAAAATAAAATTGCTGCAATAATTTAACTTACTATATCAAATAAACCCATCTATATAAATACTTTGGATGACAGTATTTCTTTGAATGTGGGACGATTTTTTTTTTTTTTTTAATACAAACGACGCCGTCACGACAAGTCATAACATCATCTCAAGGCATAACAGATCCAACGTACTACATACCAGAACATGTATTCTAAAACATGAGTGAAAAGTCCCAGAAACTATTATCATTAGCTCAACAGCTTCGTCTCTATAAACCTCTTGATTCCATAAACAACCCAACCAGAAGAAACAATGGGATCCCACAAAGTGGAAAACCAAAAAGAGCTGCAGTTCTTATATGTATATTTGATGGAAATGATGGAGATCTGCGTGTAATTCTAACAGAACGCTCTTCAAGACTTTCTTCTCATTCTGGTCCGAAAAGAGTTTCTTATGTTATTTTAACTATCAATTCATGATTTTTTTTGGGTTGTATTAATGGTTATGCGATGGTTTTAAAGAAAGAAGAAATGGGTTGTGTTCTATTGCAGGTGAAGTTTCCTTGCCTGGTGGCAAAAGAGAGGAAGGAGATGCTGATGATGTAGAGACTGCCTTGAGGGAGGCTAAGGAGGAGATTGGCTTGGACCCTTCTCTTGTCGATGTTGTTACAGTTCTTGAACCGTTCATGACAAAGGTTAGGTTGTGTTTAATTAAACAAATACAGTTTCTAGTCAAGCTACATCCTTTGAGTGTTTATAATTTGTTTGATAAAGATTTCTTCTTATTTTATTTATTTGCTGAATATAGGTACTTCCATATCAATTTAATAATCATAGTTGGTAGAAAATAAATAGTTGCAAAGATTTATGTTTGGTTTTGATTATGTGGACAGAGAAGAGGGGGAAAAACCACAAACCCAAAAGGATACTTGATATATTGGCATAATTGGAAAGTTTTGGTAGGATATCCTGGGTTTGAGACTTTGCTCATGACACTGATGTTTAGGCCATTTACTGTTTTTAATTGTCAAGTATGTGGTGTAGACAAAATAAAGCACCATCTTTAGCAACTTTGGAAATGTTTAATCTAATTTCATGATTCTTTTTCGCTAACCATCCTTACTCGAAGCTGGAATTGTAATTTTAGACCCTCTTTGTTGTCCTGTTAAGTTTCTTCAGATTATTGCTTCAAGTTACAGGCAGAGTGATTGTTTGTTATCTTTGTTTGTGTATGAGTTTGTTTTTAGACTAATGAATAAATCTTGGTTCCATATGCAGTATGCTATGACTGTGGTTCCTGTGGTCGGCATACTGTTCGATAAGAAGGCATTCAATCCAGCTCCAAATATGAATGAAGTGGAATCCTTATTTGATGTTCCCCTAGAAATGTTTCTCAAGGTTTTACTCTTGTTCCATTTTATCAATTACACTTTGAAGTTAAATTTCAGAAGCTTTTCTCACTTGCTTCTCTTTTCTGATGGTGAATACAGAATAATAACCGGAGAGATCAGGAGAAAGAATGGATGGGAGACAAGTATCTACTCCACTTCTTTGATTATCAGTCAGGGAGTAAAACGCATACAATATGGGCCATCACTGCCTCAATATTGATTAGGGCTGCATCAGTTGTCTACCAAAGACCACCTGCATTTCTTGAGCGAAAACCAACATTTTGGAATGGAAATCCTGATAAAGTTACCGCAAAACCATAGATACATGACGTTTTTGAACTGTTTTGTATCAAGCAATATTTTTGTACAATAAATTTAGAACCTCTCTACTTTTGATTATGTTATTTGAAGATTAGCGGGAGCATTCCAGAGCAGCAAATAATTAATCTGAAGCACTTCAGAGGCATTTGAATTTCACAGTAGCCAACTCCTGATTACAGATACAAATCATCATCAACTGTTGGTCGCCACTGATGATCTGTAGTGCATAGTAGAGATTATGGCCTTGAGCTTCCTCTGAAGTGTTTGTAGTTGCAACTTGTAACCATTTGCTCAGTTGATTTGCTCTCTTTTAGTGGCTAGAATTTGTTATTACACACTGAAAGGTTGCCGAGGTACTAAATATACACTTGCATTGATTTCTTGAAAAAGGAAAAACCAAAAAAGACGTGACGTAGAACACTGTAATAACAAAGGGATTCTTGCAATATAATAAGTACATAAATTTTTAACTTTTTCTTAATCCAGTGTATGATTTTTAAGTTTTTTTGTTTGAGTATACTAACTTTTTTAAAATTGTTAATCAAGTATTTTCGTTTATTTTTTCATTGCTTTCGAAATGCCAAATTATAATTTTGCTTTTTTTTTTCTTCAATCAAGCAAGAGAAGTTTTTTTTTTAGTATATTAATTTTCAAATTGCTAGTTAAGTACTTGTTGTTAATTTTTTCATTAATTAATCCAAATATCAATTTATATTTTTTATTCGTCCTTTTGTTGCAAGAAACTTATCTGTCAAATTATGCTACTATTTCAAATTTGATAAACAATTAAAAAATTATTTTTTATCTATAAAATCTTAAACTAAACTTAACTATGTTTGTGATTAAAAATAAAAATAGTTAGTTTGAGATTTTATAACTAAAAATAATTTTTTAATTCTTTATCAAATTTTAAAATGGTAAAATAATTTGGAGAGAAGTTTCATTTATCAAAAAAAAAAAAAAGAATAATATTATAATTTCATATTCAAATACATTATTGGTTAACAAAAAAATTAATAGATATATTTGATTGACGGTTTTGGAAAAATTAATGTATTTACATAAAAAATTAAAATTTATATATTCCATTTAGGAAAAAAATTATAATTTGGTACTTAAAATGTGACATGCATTTTATGAGTTAAAAATTGACGGAAGTATTCAATTAATAGTTTTTAAAAAAATTAATATATTTAAAAAAATCATATATTCTATTGAAAAAAATTAACAAAGAAAGAAGAAGCAGAATTTCCTATGACCGACAGGTTCCAAAACTGATGTAGAACAGGGAAATAAATAACAAAGATGGAAGAAAAATAAATAACAGTGATTAAGATAAATAATTTCTAGCTGATTCAAACAAAACCCTAGTAGTATCTTGATGAGTTGGTGTGTACTATTTCTTTATATAATAATTTCCAAATTGGTCTCTTCAAACAAAAGAGATTGTTGGTTGCTGGTATTATTTTTTTTTTCTTTTCTGCGCCCAAAAGTCCTTAGCCATTTTTTACTATTGTTTTTAGTATTAAATTCTGATTTTAATTTTCAACGAAAAGGATTTTACCGTAGATTCTGAAACAAGTTAAGGGGCAGCTTAGCAAAGAAAATATTGGTGAAAACCCAAAAATGGCTTCTAAAAACAGGGGAGAAAAATCCCAGAAGCTCGTATCATTATCTCGACGGCTCAGCCTCTACAAACCTCCACCCCATCTAAACAATTCGGCCAGAAGACAACATGGGATCCCAAAATCTGCAAACCCCAAAAGAGCTGCAGTTCTCATCTGCATCTTTGAAGGAAATGATGGAGAACTGCGTGTAATCCTTACAAAACGCTCTTCACAACTTTCTTCTCACTCAGGTATAAAAGTACTCGCCTTTCTGTCATGTATTTGCTTCTTCAGTGCAATATATTGATGATTATTTTATGTTCTATTTAAAGGCCAAATAGGTTGTGTTTCAATGCAAGTGAAGTGGCCTTGCCTGGTGGAAAAAGAGAGGAAGGTGATGTTGATGATGTAGAAACTGCCTTGAGGGAGGCTAAGGAGGAGATTGGTTTGGACCCTTCTCTTGTTGATGTTGTTACTGTTATTGAGCCATATATGACCAGGGTTTGTGTTGAATTCTTCAAATTCAGTTCCTATTTTGCTATGTTGTGGAAAGAGATGATTTGTATGATCGATAATATTCAGTGACATTAACCAAATTAGCTTAAGGTGGACGCTTTGAAATCTAATTTTGTTTATCAGAGTTAATGACCTGACCAAATCAGATGTAGTTCATGATGATTGATTGATTACTTGATTAATGTGGAGAGGAGAAATAGAAGTCCAAAATATCAATGCAGACCGTTGTTTAGAAAGAAGTACGAAAAATAAAATCATGGGTTTGAATCTTCGCTCGTCAAAATGATGTTTGGATTTAGGTTCCTTCACTTTTTTGATGTCTAAAGCTTTAATCTGGAGATCATTCGCCACATTGTGAAAGACAGGATGAAGTTCATAATCTATAATAAGTTGGAATTTGGAAGCTGGTATATAACTCATCTAGTAATTCTGTGTCATTACTCATCCTTGCCAGGATGGCAGTCTTTTTTCAGGCTTCTTCGCCTTCGAGTCTGTTCAGATGATTAGATGAAGCTGCAAAAGCAAATTTTTTGCTTGTTCTCTTCGTTTGTTTGTTTGTTTGTTTTTTAGACTAGTTTTTGATTCTATGTGCAGTTTCATGTGACAGTTGTTCCTGTGATTGGTATACTGTTTGACAAGAAAGCATTCAATCCAACTCCAGATGCCAGTGAAGTGGAATCAGTATTTGATGTCCCCCCGGAAATGTTTCTTAAGGTTTGACTCTGACTCTAGTTCTGTTTTTCATTTACATTGTAATTAGTCTGCAAAAACCTTATGGCTCCTCTCTTTGGATGGTGAATGCAGAATGAGAACAGGAGAGAAGTCGAGGATGAGTGGATGGGAGACAAGTTCCTATGCCATTTCTTTGACTATCAATCAGGGGAAAAAAGTTATATGATATGGGCTTTCACTGCAGCAATATTGATTAGAGTTGCCACAATTTTCTACCAAAGGCCACCTGCATTTCTTGAGCGAAGGCCAACATTTTGGAATGGAATTCCAGATAAAGATCTCGGCAAGCTATAGATCCCTGGCCTTTTATTTTTATCAACCCATTCTTTAAGCCATGTTCTTTAAGGTATGTGGAAATAGTTTCAAAACAGCAAATAATCTCAAGCCCTTTTTTCCTCCCCTTTAGATTAGCTGATCCTAAATTTTCTGTTCGCTTCTTTTTTTAAAAAAAAAAAAAAAAAAAAAAATTGATATCAAGTATTCAAACAGCAGAATCTGTAAACAAACAGGGAGAAAAGCATGAATCCATAGATTTCAATTACCAGGGAGATGTAAAACATACAAGTGTAATTTGGCAACTCTTGTACAAAAGCATGTAACCCCAGAAGACAAGGAGAAGATTAAACTAGTAATTGCAGATATTTCAGGCATAGCATCTTCTCTTCATTTTAATACAAAATCCTCGACGACAACAGGTATAACCAATGTCTGTATTTGTAGAGAGAGAGAGCGTGAAAAAGCAACATGATAGAAACAGAAAAAATGCCAGTTGGAGGGAATGTTACAAAAATTACAGAAATGGGCATCTAAAAATACTGCCATCAGCTAAAAACCTCATAAAATTTCTCACTGACAAGTAAACCCGAGTCAATTGACTCCAAGGGATCCTTCCGAAGTCGGTGTCTTAAACAATTGGGGATGACAACAGCAATATCTTCTGCAGTTACTTGATTCCTACCCTTCAAGGCAGCAAGAGCTTTTGCAGCTCTGTTCGTCACAATGTCTCCTCTCAATCCATCAACATTCAGCTCTGAACAAACCTTGGAGATTTTAACCTTCAGATCATGATCTATCTGTACAGATGAAAGAGAACTCCTAGCTGAGGTAATTTGTTGCTGGAGTTTCTCTTGTTCTGCCTTATAAGAATTGCGAAACTCCTTCGGATTTTTGTCAAATCGAGCTCTCTCTTCCACAATTTTCACTCTGAGCTCTGCATCCCTCACAGTCCCCACTTGTGCATGCATTCCAAATCTATCAAGTAGCTGTGGCCTCAGCTCTCCTTCTTCAGGATTGCCCGAACCAATCAAAATAAACCGAGCAGGATGTGAAATTGAGATACCCTCTCTCTCTACTGTGTTCCAGCCTGATGCAGCAGAATCTAGAAGAACATCCACCAAGTGGTCATCCAAAAGATTAACTTCGTCCACATAAAGGATCCCTCTATTAGCTTTAGCAAGAAGACCAGGCTCAAATGCCTTTACACCCTCAGTGAGAGCCTTTTCAATGTCAATTGTCCCACAAACCCTATCCTCCGTAGCTCCCAATGGCAAATCAACCATGTTAATTTTGGTCAGGACAACAGTGAGATCCTCCCCTTTCACTACACTCTCCCTGACTTCAATACCCATCGACTCTGGATCTTCAGGATCTGAGTTATAGGGGTCACCAGCAACCACCTTAATTTCAGGAAGTAAATCAACCAAGGACCTAACAGTGGTGGACTTCCCGGTCCCTCTATCACCCATGATCATGACACCTCCAATCTTGGGATCAATCACATTTAGCAAAAGGCACAGCTTCATCTCATCTTGCCCTACTATAGCAGCAAATGGATACACTGGTCTCTGGCTTTCCTTAGCAGTAGCCTTCTGGGCCTATATAAAATCGAAAGCACAGCAATTCATATAACCTAGCTTAGCGCACACTCTTCAACACAAAGCTTTCTAGAGATATAATTTTTTCCCCTTTCACCAAGGCATAAAAATGATGCATAGTTTAGTGGCCACAGACATTAACTAATTCAAAAAAATCAAGCTTTCAAATTAAACATCTAAACTAAACAAAGTTCTGAAATATTATTCAAACACTACACTGAGTCATCATAAAAAAATAAAACTAAGGCAAAGAAACGAACAGCATTGTACTGAAAAATCGATTTTTCATCTCAATATAGCATATGTTAACAAGAACTAAAATAAAAAATAACCTTACCTCGACAGAGCCAATGTCAGTTGCAACACTGGCAACTGCAACATGAAATTGAGGCCTCCCTTTCTTACCCACAAGATCAATCCCTCCATAACACTTCCTCCGAAAACTCAGCCCTGCAAAACCCACCAGCTATCTTAACTAGAACATAAAAAACTCACAAAATGTAGAATCTAATCACAAAAAAACCATTAAAAAAGAAGTGGGTAAATCTCAAATGCACTTAAATCTTGAAATATATGAAAATTTTGAATTTTGAAGAGGAAAAGGTGAAGTGGGGTTTAGCTTGTTTAATGTACCTGAGGAGGCTACAGAGAGAGAGGGGATGGAAGTTTTGGAGAAAGTTCTAGATGCCAAAATTGCAGTGGAAGAAGTTCCTAGTATTGTTGCCATTTGCAACTGAATTTGAAGAAGAGGTTTGCGTTACTATGATTGTTTGTGTTTTATTGGACCTCTTCTGCACCAGCTTCGCATTTGGCTTTCTATTGGTCTGTTTGGTTGAAGATAAGATGATAGAAGATGGACATCAGGCGTATCTACTTTGCTCTTTAGAGGCCTCTGCTTTAGTCAGTAGTAATTTTATTTTTATTATTTTTTTAAAAGTTTATTCTGAAAAACTAAAACAGAAAAAGAAAAGGCAAAGTAAAGAAGTTGAAATTTGCTAATTTATAGGTCCAAAAGAAAAGGTAACGAAAGTGATCTAAAATTTATTTTTATCCTTTTTCTATTTTTTTAATTCTTCATGCGTGTGTGTATATATATATATACGGGTATTTTTATTTTGTGTTGCTAAAATTTAAGAAATGTTTTGACATTTAATAAAAAGTTTTTTTTTAGAGATTCGTTAATGGTAGTAACTGTCTAATGTAAAATTAGAAGTTATAATAATTAGATAATTTTTAATTTTAATCTTTTTAATCCATATATATTACAAATTCAAAGAAAATATTCTATTTCCAGACATCAAAAATTTGAAAATTATCCAATTGTTTTTAAAATAAACTACCACTAATTACTAACAATAATCTTCTAAAAAACATTTGGTCTAATGGTTAATTACTAACAATAATCTTCTAAAAAAATTTAATCTTTTACTGTATCATCATAAATAAAAAATATACCTAAAGGTTTTGGATTAATTTTAAAGGATTGGTGTAATGGTTAAAATTTTTTATGTTATTTTTTGAATTTAAAATTTAAGACTACTATTGAGTAGAATTCATTAAATTTTATTAAATGTACCAACCTCGTGTCAAGATACATCTTTAATATCATCCATAAAAAAAGATTTAGACTCGATTAATATTTGAAAATATTTTTATTTAAAAAAAAAGTTTCTATCATGAAAAGTTTGAAATATGCACTGTCCCTATTCCTATTCTCCTTTGATCTTTTCGAAGTTCAAAAAGGCCTAACAAGATTAATTCTCTAAAAGCAACAATTCAATGATCAACAAGCCATCCATACGTATTTCTCCAATTTTATTTTACCGACAGTTTCATTTAGGCATTTTCAAGCATAGAAATTTGGAATAAGTAATACAATATAAGACCAGTTGAGCAGTCATTAGCCAACTCTCTTTCATCACAATTTTAGCAATCCTTGTAGTGAATACTTTTCTCTGGTGTGGCGTAATTACAAACACAGAGATAATAAAAGGAACTCAGAATGTAAATCAAGACAAGTCAAATTCTTGGCTTCTAAATTTCTCCATCTCTTTCCTGAAGGCAGCCATGAATGTTTCTTGCAAGGTCACCAACACCTTGAACCCATCCTTCTTGCCTCCACTTGCAGATGAATAAGGCAAGAAAAAGCAAGGCTCTACGCTCCCAAGTAATTTTCTTGAAAGTGGCAAGACTGTAACTGGACCTCCCCACCCAAAATCCACACTTGAATGTCCCAAGTGTCTCCAATCTGTGAACCCACTCACTCTGTTTCCTGCTGTAATGCCATCTCCATAATGTAGTTCTTGAAAATCTATGAACGAACGGACATACTCATCGGTTGCATTGATTTTGCTCTTTTTAATCAGCTCAGCTGTTTTCCAAATTGGTTGCTCTATTAGCTGTTTGGCACAAAGTTGTGCATACATAGGAACACAACCATTGCCCCAATAGCCAGCAGGTAATGATGGCTTCACTACTTTTCGTATGTTCATTGAATAAGCAAACTTCACATTCTCATCACCTGGAATTCGTGAGGCTTTAACCCTGTTATGTCAATATAATGAATTAGAATTAAAAGAGACAATATGACACAAACAGATTTAAAACGAACATTAATTTTGCTTTTATGCATTAAATCAACGTGAGGAAGACATCTTTAAAATTATTCGAAAAAATTTAATTACCAGCTTATTTAAGAGTTTGATTGCAACAATGAGTCTAATAGAAAATATTCACTGCACTTAAAGATAATTTTTCTGTAATACTTGGTGAATATTTTATTAGCTTCTTTATGCGTGAAAATATCTTAATTATGTAAAATAATTGTTTTGATTATTTTGATTGTGTGTAAAAATTATTCTATGAGCATAGAAAAATTGTTAAAAAGGTGCTAGAATATTAGTACTCTTAGGTTAATTTTTTTATACTTCGTAAATATTTTATGACTTTTTATGTGTGAATAATACACTTTTAAGCAAAATGATTATTTTAAGAGTCTAAATAAGTACATAAAAATTAAATGATTGATGAATAAATTATTATAAAATATTTATGATTTTATTGTAAAAAAAAATATTTTTCTTAAATGTCTACAATTAAGTATGGACATAGGATGTAATTACGTAAAATTGTTAGCATTATGCACGAACTACCAAAATGACTTACTTGGCCCGCCATATGAATGCACCCAAAGCCTCAAACGTGGTAAAACTAGAGCCACTCTTCTCAAACACCACCTTCTTGAACTTCTCCAACCACTCATCCTTCACATCAAAGCACTCCCTAACCACCTTACCAAACACCTGACCGTACGGTTCAAACCCTTTCTCCAAGCCCAAAAATTCCCTCACAACTCCATCAGCTCGGGGAGGGTCTCTCGGACCCAACAAGCCCACCCGGTCCCAAACCGGATTAACTGAAATCCGACCCGCGCCACGTGCCAACTCTGCCATAACGTTAAAAAATTGAGTGGCCCCAAGCCCATCACACAAAGAATGGTGTATGGAAGTACCCAATGTCCATCCACCGCACTCGAACACAGTGACTTGGAGAACACACGGGTTAGCCAACCCATGATCCTGATCCGGGTCGGGCACTAACCGGTCCACAAAATCAGGGTCCGAGTCATCAAGGTAGTTAAGTTGTTCTAACGTGCAGTTTACAGTTGCATTGATGAGAGGCACAGCTAGTTGGTCCCGAGAGCAAAAAGCTCTAGACGGCTGTCCACCTGGCCGCGGCGGAGAGTGGCAGCCAGAGGATAGTAGTGGACAAGAGCAGAGGAAAGCGCAGCCGCGATGACATTGAAAGGGTGGTTGGTATTGGTGGCGGTGTTAACGTAGACACGAAGGTAGCGAAATGTGACATTGAGGTTGCGGTCAGTGTCAAGGTGGGAGAGAGCAAGAGTATGGTCTTGAGAGAAGGGAGGTGTAGAAGGGTGAATTGGAGTGGTTTCTTTGATGTGAATTTCTTGCATTGTAGTTGATAGGATTGGTTCGTTTCTAGGCGGTGTTGCTGTGCTTATGTTCTTGGGTGGGTTAATTGGTGCTTAAGTTTATGAATGATGATGGGGTTGAATAAGGAATTAATGAAGTGGTTGTTGGCTAATGGCGTTTTTGGATTTTGAGGAGGAGACATATACACAGAATGGCGGGTTGAATAATGCTGTGGAAGTAGGAGGAGGAGAGGCCACTTAATGTAACGTGTAGCATGCCGTGGCCACAGCCCACGCTGATGGTAGGTAGGTAGCTAATATATACATAATTCTTATATATATATATTCAACGAAGGTTATTCTTTAATTAAAATCAAAGAATTTATAATTCATAACAAAGTTTAAATTTATAATTCAATTATATATGCATATTTCTTTATGGATTGGTCCTGAAATTGAATTTTGAGTAGCGAAATTGTGATCATAAATACCCTTTTGCTATTTGCTAACAAAGGCCAACTCTTACAAGTTCTTAATATTTTAGTTTATCTCTAGCAAATGGCAGGACTAGAAATTTAGGTTTGGAGGTGCCAATTCGATCAAACATGATGAAAACATGTATTTCCTAGGAAATAAACTTTAAAATGAAGGGTATAATTGAGAAAGATTAAAAAACGATAGGACTAAAATATTAACTTTTTTTGTTCTGCCCTTGTCTGTAGCTATTTTTAGATGAATGGGTTTGAGTTTAATCTCTGTTGGGCGTCAAAAATAAAATGATCAAATGATTGTAGGCAGTTTCTTCTACTCACATATAAGAAGGAAAGTGATAAAATCTGCGGTAGAACTACACTAAAATTATTTTTAATAATTAACACTAAAAGATAATTTAAATTGAAAAATAGTTTTATTGATTGTTGTCTATCCATCTCCTGTCCAAATAATTTCGTTACATATTTATACCCAAAAATAAAAAAACTCACAATCTTCCTGCTTTCTATCACAATTTTATTTTCTTTTATTTTTTAAAATGGCTTCTGTATTTTTTTATTTAACCCCTTAATGTATTCAATTTTTTTTTTTTTAATGTGATCGTTTGATTGTTTTTCGATCAATTTTTAGATTAAAATTGACAATTGGCATTAAAAGTTTCACGTAGCACAACAACACGTTAGTTTAATTTGTCATGTGAAAAAACAAAAAACCATTATAATTACAAGACTACCCTCGAGATGGTGGTGTCAAGATTAAAACTAGCGAGGATTTAACAGCTATATCGACTGTCTGGTTTTTAATTCCTTCGTATATTTGATTATTTGTGGGTTGTGACTGCTCATTTGCTATCTTAAAAAAGACTGATATATCAATTTGAAAATTCTTTTTCGAAAGTATTTCTCCACACCCCAAATCCCAACCAAACTCAAAATGCTCATTTTCCTCTCTGTTTCTTTCCTAACAAATAAACATGAATAGGGTGGCTGATGGTGGAAAGAATCTGGGAAAATAAGAAGCAACATTAATTTGCCTTGCAACTGGCCAAAAAACTAATAAGGAATGATGTTTCGTGGGATCAAGAAATTACTGTGCGAGTTCACATTGGATACTCTGTCTTTGGTCCAGCGCCACTAAAGGCCCATGTTATATGTTTTTGGGGTTGTTTAGCTTGAAAAAGATGGTGGTCGAGAGGGTTTGGTTAGATTGTGTGGCCGGTGTTAAGATTGAAGTTTGTGGCAAGAGGAGGATGGCTTTTGGGGCTAAGGTTTGTGGTAAGAGGAGGTTTTGACAGTAGGTTTTCAGCGAGGGTTTGTGTGGTAGAGGCTAGTGTTTTACACTTTGTGTTGCTTTCTATTTACTCGGTCACTAGTGAATTTTTATTCTGGGGCTATATTGCACATTCTCCACTACTCACCATGTCTGAATTATATTGAATTCGAAGGGGTAAATTCATTATAGTCACAGCATCAGATACTGATTTATCTGACTTATATCTCGCGCTTAGGAATCTCCCAAAAACAGGAGCTTAAGGATGAACTACAATGTTTTCCTAGGGGTCAAGGAAGTGTGCAATCGTATTTTTGTGAGCCTCTCGTTTATTTATCATAACGTCACTACTTAGTTTTCGACTCTTAATTAAACCTATTTATTTTCCCAAAATCTCTTCGAACTATTCTTTTCTTCTTCTTCTTATGCTTGGATTCTTTTGTCCCGTTGCATATATGCTTTGAGGACTGCACTAGCCAAAGCTAACTCGTCTTAAGATTGCGTAGTATTTGATCTTTTGTTTCTGAACATTTTTATCTTTTGACAGCCATAAACCTCTCGTGCTTCTGAATGTGTGAATAAGAAAGACAGCCTTTTGAATTATATTCATTGCCGAGAAAATTTTATAATACACAAGAAATAACTAAGTGATATATACGAGTAATTACTCAATGACTCACTTTGAAAAAAAATATATATACATTAAATTACATTCTAAACTATAAAAAATGATAAGAAGATTTTTACGTTTCACTCAATTTTTTTTAAATTTTAATTTTCTCACTTTTTTTTTATCTCTCTCTTTAAATATGTCCATAGAATAATTATTATGCATGACACTAATTACTCTTTATTATAAATTTTTTCTTCATCACATGCCATTACTAAGCTTGTGAAGCACAAGTTAACCGCCAAATAAGGAAAGTACACGAAATGTTTTTAAATGAAATACCAAACATGCCATTGACTTGGCAGCTAAATTATAAATTAATCCCTCGAGTTTTTCAAAATAAATTAAATAATTCTTTTTATTTTAGAAACTAAATAAATAATTCTTTAATCAGTATTAATTATGACTAATTTAATATTATTTTATTTTAACAATTCATTTTTTTATTAAATTTTTTTATTTTCTTTTTCCTATTTATTACAACAAAAAACAAAATAAATAAAAAAATAAAGTTACTAATATATTTTAATCTATAAAAACTAATTAATTAATAATTGAAACTGAAAAAATTATATAATTCTTTTTGAAAAACTAGGAGACTAATTTATAATTCACTCGCTTGGCTAGTTGGCTTATCATAAGTTTATCTTGCCACCGATTGACAGAACTTAATGGCATGTCGTGTGAAGAGTGAAACTGTTCAGTTAAATCCAAACCTTCCCTGAACGACGTGTAAGTTAAAGTTGCTATTCTTCCACGTGTCACCATCAGACGTGAAGTAAGTAAAAAATCCAGCCGCTCACGCAAAATCTAGACTGAGAGACGACAGTTCGTTGCGTAATCGTTGTTCGTTCATTCCCGCCTTTTCGATGCCCTGCCATTATAAAGACGGGGCACATTCAAAAGCTAAAAAATTAATTCACTCTCTCGCTCCAGTTTCCACTCTCCAAGCTCAAAATCCGTAAACATTTTCTCGCGAAACAAATATCAAGGCATCTCTCTCTCTCTCTCTCTCTCTCTCTGTGATTCATAATTTGTGTATTTTGATCCACTTTTTAAACTAATTTTGTTGGAATCACGATCTCATTTTCTATCTCGGTGTTGTTTAGGCCATTGAATTGAGATGACATTTTCTAGTCTTTAATTTTTTATTCTTCGCTCAAATTAGGTTATGCAATTTGGTACGATTGTTTTTTATTTGCATTTTACTTGTTGTTTACTCAAATAATTCTCTGCTTCTCAACTTTAGGTTTTAGTTTCACTCATTAATTAGTTTTATGGCAAACAGACTCATTAAAATTGATTAATTGTTACTAAATTAGGTGATGCAATATTTCGTTAAATATTTTGGCTTACATTTCTGCTTTTCGATAAACATCTTGCTTGGATTTGTTTTTTTAAAAATGAATGAGGAGATACCTGTTTTTTTGTCGTTAACTTATACTTCAAAAGTTTTCCTCAGTAGAAGCTTATTTTGGTGTTTATTAATATTTTGGTAATGTTTCGTTCCACTAAATTTGATTGTTGTACTGCTACTCTTGTTGTTAGTAGTTTTAGATAGAGATTTTGAGCGTTGCCAGATTTATATTGTATAGACTTTTCAGTCTTCTGGCTAGCTAACCACAACAATGTAATTATTTTGCAGATGGCAGAATCGGAGAAGAAAACTTCATCATCAGTTAGTCCGAAAGAGAAAAAATCATTGTTCGGTAATCTCTTTGTTTCTCCTTATTCATGCCATGCACTCAAGAAGAGTAATAGGGAATGACATGGATAGGCAGAGTAGACATCGTTGTTCTATGAATTTTACCTAGTTCTAGAGTAGTTGTTGATATTTAAGCATTGTGATAAAAGTAGTGGTCTTCGAATGGGCCATTAGCGATCAAATGCTGTGATTATGTTGATTTCTATTAGATTGGTTTTGCTCATGTTCTGGATAGTGAGATCTTATATTACCTTTGAAGCAGATGATGAAATTGGAAATGAGTTCCTCGGCTCCTGGAAATCAATGTCGGTGATGGATGATGACAAATTGGATTTTGGCTTTGATACAGTCTCCACTGGCAAGAACAAGGCATTTAACTTTGACAAATTGTAAGTGCTTTTGAAAACTTTAAGCTCATAATATCTCTTATTGAATCCATTCTCCAAGTTCAACTCTTATAAAAAGCTTTCGATTTCTTTGAACCTGTTTCTGTTCCTCCGTTGGTTAGAAAATGTCAGTCACTCTTTTCCCCAGTTAACTTGTTTCATTTCTAAAAAAACATCTTTTAGAATTGGTGATGGCTTTGATGCAAAAATGTTTTTTTTACTAGTCTTACATACATATCTGGCAAATGTACAAGAATGTGGTTAAGAGCTAGTACCTATGGTGCAATGTTCTTTCCAGGGACATGGATTTTGATCTAGGTGGTGATTTTGGCAAGTTGTCATCCTTCAAAGTCGACATGTCAGACCTTGATTTCCCAGACTCATCCAAAAAGGCTGCAAAACCTAAGAACAAATCTGATGGAGAATCTCCTATGGGTAATCATCAGGGGGAAAGGACAGCTTTTCCTTCTCTTTTGATTTTAATGAGTAAGTGCATAACAATCTTTTTGTGCTATTACTGGTCCTCTTATGATAGATGATTTTTCTAGAAGGTATGTCAGAGAATATATAATGAGTTATGCAATTGTTTGGAACATAAGTCAATATATAATGAATTTTTGTCATAGTGCAGGTTGGATAATTTTGATTTTGGTTCAAATTTGGAAAAAGCCAAAAAAACTTCGATGAAGAGCCTAGATGCTGATGGGGTTCTTTCAGATAGGAGTGAGTGTCAAGACTCCAAAATTAACCAGGCTGGGGGCTCTGCTGCATTTTTTGATGATGGCCAAACTGAAAAGCCTACAGCATCAGAGAGTGTAACAACTTCAAAGGTTGAGACTAGTTTAGCTGGAGGAGCAGCCGACTGTTCTTTGAATAACATTTTGCCTTCAAGATCAGGATTGAATGAAGATGTGGCTGTGTCACATGGAGCAAGAACTTCAACAGAGAAATCAATTTCTGGTACTGCTGAAGAAACAGAGCATCAAAGTTGTTCCCCAGAGAGGACAGTGCCCTCTGAGCCATATGCTCCACAAAAAACACAGATATTAGCTGTTCAATCTGTTAGCAGGAATGATTCGACTGAAGATATTGTTTCAAATGTAGAGATAGATGTTGGTTCTCCGAGTATGGAAGTTGATAAAGAGTCAGGCGCAGAGCAAACTGTTAATGGCAGAATAGTTGATGGTACTAAGCCGAGCCATGAAAGCTCACAGGAAAAGAATTCAGATACACTACATCTTACTGGATCCGAGAAAAAAGGAGGTGAAAGCAAATGGACAGGTGGTGAAATCCAAACTGATAATACAGTAGAGGCTGAGCCAATGCCTGATGATTCCGATACCGAAACTACTTCCATCAGAAGCCTTTCAGGGACAGCACCGCAAGAATGCAATATCAGCAAGGATATCCAGGATTCAGCTTCAAAACTTTTGGTTACATTGGCAAGGTTATAAAATATACCAGATCTGTGAATTGTTAACACTGTTCATCAGGATGGCTTTATCAACGTAAAACAAGGGAAAAAAATTTCATGCATCATCTCTTTAGCCGCAGAGAATGTTTGGAAAATCTAAGAAATAAATAGTCTTTGAATTATTGTGGAGGTTGATGTTTCATGACCTCATGAAATATTGATGAATATGTCTTGTAAAGATAAACAACATAATCCTTTCAGTGAGTTTTTGCATAACCGTGTTCATTGACACTAGTTGTAAGGATCTGACATGAGAAGGCATCTTATGATTTTTTGTTTACTTATTGTAGTGAAACTGTGGCTGATAAAATTGTTCCCATAAAGGAGAAAGAATCAGGAGATGTGCGTTCTAAGTTTTTTAGTTCTAGCAAACCTGTGCCTAAGCTACATCACCCATCCACAGAAGGTGTGGCGGTTTCTTCATCTGGGAGCAAAGGAATTTATGCTATGCAATCAAGTCATCCAGAAATTGGTAAAAGGTGAGCAAGCTTTTTTTGAAACTGTAGTAAAGAAAATAAGTTATAGGCATTTTCATATTTTTTGTCCACAGGCAGAGGCTCCCTGCAATTGATGCACACCTGGGGCGAAAATTGGTTGGGGATTCAAAATCACCATTTAGGGAATTATCAAAGGGTGAACCTGCTTTACTGGGAATTGAAAAGAATGTAAAAACTCTATGCAATATCAGGTGAGGGCACGTTGCTTATATTCCTGGAATTGTCATTTTGAACCAAACCTTTTTATCCTTTGATGCCTTGTTGAAAATTTCTTAGTTTTGGAAGCCAAATCAGATCATCTAACTGTTAACAAAGACAATTCTGTTGTAGTTTTGAAGTGACAGTGTCCCTTATAATCTCATCAGGGAAAGTATTAACTGCGATGGTGTACAAAATGGCTGCAAAGCAGTTGTTACTCCAATACCTCCTGTTGATAAAGAAGTGCCAAAAGGGAATCCTGCTGGGCTAGGAAGCAAAATGAACACTAAAGACCTTCATAATTTTGGGTGAGGCCCACTTTGAAGTTTTTAAAATTTTCCTACTGAACGTTTTACTCCAGAAAAGGGATTGACTTGCAAGTTTGGAAATGATGATCAAGTTAACCATTAACTTTCTGAACTCAGTTTTCTCTCATCCAATAAAGATACTGATAGCATATTTTCCATATTTATTTCCTGCATATTTATTGCTACCATTATTGCATGCTAGCTTTCCTTCACTTAAAGTGTGACCTGTAAATTTCTTTTAGGTGTTCTTGTTTCATAATACTCCATTTGCAGATTACGAAGTCATTTTGTCCTATTTAGAGTCTCTGTGACCATTATTTTTCATATTGGACAGTCAATTGTAGTTCTTGAATATGCACCATAGACATTTGACATGACAACGTATTTCATGTGCTGTAATGGACTGATGACAACAACAATAAAATTAGTATGATGCCATATAATTTTACTGCATCCTTTGCAGGTGACTTGTGGGAAATATCATATTTGGAATATGTTTTAGTGCACTGACAATATCTAAATAACTTATTATGTTGTCATTTATTTTTTCTGTATCCTTTTCATTGATTTGTGGGAAATATCATTTTACCATAATAAGCTTTGTGAGATTCTGGGATATGTTTTCAGTTGTGGAATTATTCATGCTGGGTTAACTGATAAGACAACAAAGTCTAATACTCAGACAAGTGAAAAGTGCAGAATTGTGGTTTCAAGCATTGCATCGATGAGGAACTCAAAGATAATTTCTGCTGAAGTGCTTAAAGACGTGAAAAAGACACCTGATCTTTCTAGCTTGAAAATTTCCAAGTATGTTGACGAGATAGAGCTTCAGGTTCCATGCTGCCTTTAAATTTTTGCAGTGAAGATTTTGTGATAGATCTTTCTGATGAATGCTTGCCTTTCAATGTAGGAGTATGGGATCGATGAGGAACTCAACGATAATTTCTGCTGAAGGGCTTAAAGCTGTGAAAAAGACACCTGACCTTTATAGCTTGAAAATTTCCAAGTACGTTGACGAAATAGAGCTTCGTGTTCCATGCTGCCTTTCAATTTATGCAGTGAAAATTTTGTGATAGATCTTTCTGATGAATGCATGCCTTTCAATGTAGGAGTATGGGAGAAAACAAACGTCCAAATGCTATACGTGAAAGGGAAATCAGTTTCTCACGAAACTCAGAGAAAAACATGGAAGTAAACAGAAATAATGCATCCAAGATTATCCTTCCTGTTGTCAATGCTGAGAAAAAATCGCCGCTGATAACATCTTTGAAGCGTAAAACAATTGAGGTTTCTTTCCCCCCAAATATTGATTACTATTATGAATTTATTTAGAGTTTCTATAAGATTTGAACGATTATAGCTCAGCTTGAAGCAATGGTATATCACTTTCTCTTGTGGTGTATCATGGGAAAATATAATATGCAATTTTGCAGGCAGTGAATGCAGATCTAGTGCTCTCAAACCCTCCCAAACGTCTCTCATTGTCTCCTAGAGAAAACAGGTTGTGTGTCATACCATTGTTTATGATTCTTCTACTCAAGTTACTTCTTGTTTTCTGGAATAACACATGCTTTTTCCCCATGCTTGCAGAAACTTTAAGGAATGTTCAGAAAGCATTGTTGAAGATCAGGTGTCCTTTTTTGTTTCAATAAAACCTTGGGTTTCATATCTGCAATGACCACAAGAATTCATACTGAAGATATCATTGGGTGATGCATGATTAGGCAATTGTTAACTTTTATTGCTTTAATACTGGCTAGGTTTGTGATAATGGTGATCGAGCAGGAAGTAAGACCTCCACTGTTTTTTATGACCATTGCTCTGGACTTCAGAGAACTCAGGAGTTGAACATTAAAGATATTGACATTTCTTCGGCAATGGAAAATGATGGAAATGTCAAAATGGCTGAAGCATTTGCGAAAGAGCTTGAGGATGTGAGTCAATTGTGGATTTATATTATTTTTGTTATCTATACATCCTTTACTCCATCATCCTCTCATCTTCTAATGTTTTTAAGTTGAAGACCTGTCAAGCTTCAAGTTGATTTCAAAACCACAAATCTTAACTAGGATCGTAGAACAGGAAGCAAATTCTGAGACTTGAAATTGTTAAATTGCAACCATCAATCTTTTTGTTTTTCCTTTCGATGTATTGCTCCCATCAATCTCTTCCTTAGCCAATGCTGCAAAGTAGTGGAGAACAAAAAATTGGGTTAGCTTGCAGCACATTTTGAACTCAGGCAGTTATTTTGGTGTCTTCAAATCAAGCATGTTTCTCAGAAGAAGCTTTTTCCCTTTTTTATTCTTCGTATCCTTTCTTGTCATTGTCAAGTCAACTTGATAATATATGGCTGGTGATTTCAAATTTGACGGCCTTTAAACCCTGTAAATGTTAATAAAGCCGTCTATGGAGAAGTTTCACTTCTATGGTTTAGAAGGCCAACTGAATAATGTTTTTACCTTGGATTTTTCACTCTCAGGCTCAATATTCACTATCAGTGGTGGTTTCATAGGAGTTGATAGTTTCCCTTCTGGTCTGTTTATTCAGTTATTAGATTCCAAGACAGGGGAAACTTTGAGTGTATCTTAGTTGACTTATAATATTGGTCTCTACTTCAGCTCATTAACTGTTGATGAACTAACCTGACCTCTAGGAGATTCTCCCTTAATTCCTACATCTGCTTTTGTAGTCAATTTGTTTCTTCTTAGGTGTGCTGACATAACCAGAACAAGGCGTGAATATAGTATTAAAAAAAAAATAAAAAAAGATAGTCACCTTGCTAATTTTCCTGCAGATTTGCAACATGTTGAAGAAGAAACACGAGGAAGCCAAAGAATTATTGGTTCGAGCTGTTGTTACCAATAACAACTTGCTGTTGCTTAACCATCCCATGTTTGATGAGAAGATATCCTTTTTTTGCGGTTACTGGTGGTTATTTTTGTTTTCTTTGGCTCCTATTTTATTACTAAAAGGAATTTCTGCATTCCTTCACAACTGAAAACATTCGTATGGCTGAGAAATTTGCCGCAAAATTGGTGCTGAAATAGCTTCAAATGAAAATGGCCAGAGCAGTAGAAGGTACCTCTCGCTGCGCCCCCTTGTTGGATGTGCATTTGCTAGTTAGATTTTGTAACTGATAATTCAATATGCTGCGCCAATTTCAGGGACAACAAATTCTCTTTCCTGCTGCTGTTTGGACCATGAGAGTATCTCTGAACTTCAAAGCACTTCAATTAGCCAACCTATTAAATACCCCAGACGTGATGTTCACCGATTTCAACTGACTTAACCATCTCCATCTTTACTCTTGCATATTATTCAAGAATGTCCCGTTTACTGTGCTCAGACTAATCTGGTGGTTGAGTCGTTTGTTTCCAGTGAGATGAAGTCCTCAGTGCTTCAAATATATTCATTTGTTAATCGTGCAAGATGCTTTAGTTGGATAAATGTTAGTATAATTCGCATTGGCTAAGATTAGTCATCATATAAAGTAATGCAGTATTTGATTGGAAATATGATACAAAACTTTCATATTTCCAAATAACGACTCCCAACTTCTTCTTTCTTAATTTCGTCATTAAGTTTTTCTCCGCACATTATAATGTTTCTCCTACATTAGGATGCAGTTGGATTGGGTAGCGGATCTAGTAAACGTGAAATTTTGCTGGTTAGTTCTTTCTGCACACAGAACTTAGACCGAAGATGAAATGGAATTGGATAAGAAACAACCTAATAAGTTTGAGTTGGAGTTGGTTCTCATTTGTATCTGTGAGATTAAGTTTGAGACGTCCTAATTTTTTTCTTTTTTCCTGATTCTGAATTAAGCTTGAGGATTCACTGTCATGTTAATGTCATATGCATGTTTTAATAGCATAATTTACTTTAAGAAAACTTGATATTGTGCTTTCAATCTGGGGACAAAATTTGTAAGGAATTTTAGTTTGTAGAAGATAATCATACTAATATCCTAGTGTGAGAAGACAACAACTTAAAGCGGGCAGGAGAATTTATTCAATTCCCATTTAGTACTAGTTTTGTTTTTTTTTTTTTTTTTTTAAATGTTGGGCAAAAGAGACGGTAGTTGATCGCCAGTGCTAGAACATGTCTCTTCAGATTTAGTTAGGACCGTTTGCAATCTGCATTTGATTTCAATTTCCCGCCGGTACCGACTGGGCGCTTCTTGGTTTTTTGTTTTTTAATCATTATCGCAGTCCTTAGCTAATAGTGAAATAGGACAAAGCGAGGTGGTCACAAGGTGAGAAAGGAAAGAGTAAGCTTGACTGAATTAGCGAGGGAAAATAAACTTGACTTTGGAGGGATCCAAATTTTGGCATTATCGACTTAAAACCTGAAACCCTCCCTCCTTGTCCCCATTTACACATTAAAAAAGTGCGCGCCTCTTACATTCATTGGCTACGCTCCAACGTTCAGAATTCAAACTACGAAGCCCAAAAATCTGAAATTCCCCTCCCTCTCGGCCTCTCCCTCCCTCCCATCTATGGAAACCCAACCCCCCCCCCCCAAAAAAAAAAAAAAAAAATAGAGGCAAACAAAACTACTTAAAATTTACCAAAAACAGCCCCCTTCCTCTCCCTCCCTCCCTCGATCCATGAAAGCCAAAATCAAAATACTACTTCAAAATTTCACCTCCCATTTCTCCCCTCCAAAATACCACCATTATATATGACTATTCTTGCCTCGCCCATCTCATCACCACCTCTTCCCCTCCCATCTTCTCTCTCACGTTATTTCTTGCAATGGCTGTCCTCTTTCTTAACCCATATGACAACAAGGAGAACATACCTCTAGTAGTTACTAAATCTGAATCTCCACTCCTTACCAGCAATAAAAGAAGAGTCAGGAGGCCACTTGAGGATATTACCAACCTATTGAATCAAGAAATCTATTCAAGTTCAGTTCTTGATAATAGGATCCGTCTTTTACAACCACTTCCTTTAGGCAAAGTGAAATGTGGAAAAAGGAGAGCTGAGGATGGTGTTGGCCCAACCTGCAAGAAGACCCAGTTGCTGTATTCGAGCAAAAATTTTAGATAGTTCTATGACTTCCATTGTTTAGACGGTCAATCTGCTTGATTGATGGTCCATTGAATTTTGCTTCCATTTTTTCAATTTTTTTTGTTTTTTTTTGGGCATTTGTGAGTAAAGAATTAGATGGGTAACATCCAGTCCCAAAAGCAAAAATATATATGCCAATTTGATGTCAATCAAGAGCAGCCCTCCAATTTCTGCATTGGATTTATCGAACCTTTTTACGAATACAATAATAATAGGATTTTGGTTTCAATACCGAACAGGATTCACTTTTTAATTCTGTTTCCTATGGAAAATCTAATATCTAAACAATTCTGTTATTACCCCAAAAAAAAAAAAAAAAAATACAAATGATAGATAAGCAATGAAAGCGATCTCATGCCATTCTCATTTATCTGTCAATTTCTAAGCAAACCCAGGATGGCTTGAGGATTTTTGTTCTGTTCTAGTTGTCTTTGGAATAGAGTCTCTAGCCTGCTTTCCTGCGCCAGGGTGCCACAATCTTAGAATTAAGAGGTTAAACTTATAACAAATGACCGATTCCAATCTAATTTTTTTTTTTTTTTTTCTGGCAGCTCCTGAATTTTACATGAAATCATACCCTGTTTATGAACTGATTTGAAGACAAATTAATTGAGCTATTTGTTTCCCCGTTGAATTTTGTCCCCTGGTCCACATAAGAAAATGCATGAGCATGTCAAGTAACTCGTAACAGCATTGGTTATTCATACTTGAGCTTGGACTCATAGCTCAGTCTAGCCAGAGAACGATCGAAATTGTTAGCAAGCTTTGTACCGTAAGCACCCATAATTAAGCAAGTTAATAGCTGAAGAGATTCATAGACATCAAACTGAGGCTAGTGCCATAGTAGGGTACAAAATTAATTTGCTGCGTGTTGCCAAGGAAATGTCTAATGCATTTGGTGACAATTGGTTTCATCATATTTTCTCAATATAAAGCAGTTGATCAGCTTCAATTTCTGAGGGAAAAAGGAAATTAAGCAATTATAGTTAGGCATGGTGGTGGTGCCGGCCGGCTATGAGTGGCTTCATTCTTAATTCTTGATGGAGTATATTGAACAGAACATTCTTACTAAAAACAACTGGGTGCAAGATTAAAGAGAATGGCCGGACTTGTTTGGAATCTATAAAGAATAGATAGTGATGAAGACAACTGAATTTGGAATAATAGTTTTAAATAACGGCCAGTTACTTTATATAACAGCCATTATGTGATAATTTTAGAGCATGCTATTATTATTATTTTAGTATTATAATAAATCGTGATTCGTGACAACAATCGTAACCGTTTTTTCAACCATCCGTGATCTAAAACTATGTTTGGAAGCTTGTTAGTATAATTTCCTAAGGCAAATATTAATTTTGAGTTGGTAGAAATTTCTTTTATAAGAAGCCGAATAGTTTCCTGCTTCGCACCAATGGGAGAATGAGGAAATTTTCGTAAGATCCTTCTCCATTTCCAAGTCATCATCCCCTCGCTTTCTTTTATACCACTTGATACACTTGTTGGTATAGTTGCAGTAGATATCACTTGCTGGTGCTGTGGAGTTGAAACAAAGAGATTGGTTGTTCAAGGACATGGTCGTACTAGGTTTCTCTCGCGACGAAAAAAATTCTGACTGGCACCGCCACATATTTTGAATCGAAGTGGCCGGTAGTTTTTTAGTGATCAGGAAAATTAAAGGGGATTACAGTCCAAATGTATAAACCATAAAAATAACCACTAAAAACACAATAGACTGTGCTCACTTCCACCCACTTGGATTATTATAAGAAAAAGGTTGCTCTGTTGATCACTATATATTACACCCTCCTCGTTTGTTTCTCTGCAAAACAAGCACAATAAGAGATTAAGAAAAATGGCTAGCGTGAGATGTTATCTGTGCGTAATGTTAATATTGCTGTCCTTTGCACAGTCTGAGTCCCGCCTCCTTGATCCATCTGTTGTAAGGAGGAACCTGATCAGGACAATTCGAGCCCTGGGAGAGAGCGAAGTTTACAATGTTGAGCAGGGGAATGAAAGCATGATCAGTGGTCAACGTGAAAATAAACGAGTGATTCCTGGAGGACCTGATGGTCAACACCACTAAAAAACCAGCAGTGGAGGATTTTCTATGTGAGGAATTATGCTAGACATTTTCAATAACCTGCTGTAGAGAAGTTTCGTGTAAGTCTAGATAAGACTTTTTTGTAGTTCTCAGATATGTAATTCTGTGAGAGCTAATCGACTTGATATGCTGATGGAAGCAGCATGATCATGTTATGAGGAACTGCTACTGTGTTGTAATGTAATTTTAATGATTATTAATTTAAGTTAACTTTTTTCAACTTGTTATTGCTTTTTATCCTTCTTTGAAGATAGGTGGGATGGAAAAGAGCAAAGTATAGCACATCAAATGATAAGAGAGACATAAATTTATACAAACACAACGTTCGTAATTTAGGTTTGAGAGTACAGAAATGGAATTGGTTAGCTCATAAAATGGTTTATTAAAAAGGCAGTGCTGGTTACTGGAACTGGAAGAAATAGTAGCTATGGATAAGATGACGTATATTAAAGAAATAAAGATACCCTCCTTTCTTCTCAGTGGGTCTGCTCCACTGGGATTAACTCCATATTTTGTTGGCAAAGCACAACTGTCATTCATTTTAGCATAAGAAAATATTGTGATCACTCTCCATTCTCTACAGTGCCCTCGCTATATTAGAAGCTATCACTCAAATAAGCTGAGTAACTCTTCATGTTTCAACAATGATAAGCTGGATCTCTTCTACTCCATAACACAGCGCACAGGTACAAAATTTTGGATTCTATGCAACCTTTATTTTGCCTTCTACGCTGAATTAAGGGGTGAGTTGTAGAGAAGATTTTTTTACTGAAAAAGAGAACAGATCAAATAAGAAGCAAATGTTAAAAGAAACCAAACAATTGCGTCCATTGCTTGATTTATCCTTCTCTTTCAAATAACATATGGATGTAACCGACCGTAACAAGTGTCGCATTTGTTGGGTAAAGAAACACAAATAACACAGCGGAATCTTTTTACCCTTACTTAAACAATCAAATAAGGGCTACAAACAAATACCCAATACAAAACAAGTAACAAATAATCTGAAAAAAATAGAATATCAATTACACAAAGAATACATGAATTTTACGTGAAAAACCTCCTCAATTTGAAAAGGAAAAACCATGGGACCGGAGTCCACAAAGACTTCCACCGTCAACAATAATGGATAATACAAAGAGTCCTTTCTAAATTAAACTAGAGGAATGCATCAGCCACAAGCATTAAAGCTTACACATCCTTGACAAACCTCATCAATAAATGATACATAAATAAAAAAGAACTCAAGTTTAAATTTCACCAAAAAATAGCACTATTGCAAGCATCATATCTCACTCTCCAAGAATAAAACATGATCTTTACCATTCGGAATGTGTGTCTATCTCTTTTGAACGTTCTCACTAAATTTGAGCTCAATCCAATGGTTAACAAATCCAAAAATATAATTGTACTATGACTTATCTAAGTTTTCTTCCCTCTTTCTCTCTTAAGTTGCGTCTCTCTAGTGGAATCTTTTGATGTTTAATGTCTTGAGTCATGTAGTACTCATCTAAAGGGCTTGAATATTCATCACCATTATCCGTTCGGATACATTTAAGCTTCCTCCTTGTTTGTCTTTCTACCAAAGCTTGAAACTACTTGAAAACACTAAGAACTTGATCTTTCGATCTCAATGTAAAAATCCATGTCTTCCTTGAGAAATTATCTCCGAATGTCACAAAGTAATAGAAACCATCTTTTGAAATTATCTTCATAGAACCACACATATCCGAATGTACTAGCTCAAAGGGATTCTATTTCCTTGTAGGTGGATGACTCCTAAAGGAAACTCTATTTTGTTTTCTAGCCAAGCAATGTGGAAACTTCTTCAAGTGATTATTCCGCATCTCAAACAATAACTTTTTCTTTTTCAATACTCGCTATGCCTTTCTTAATCATATGAGCCAATCTCTTATGCCATATTTTAGTAGCTTCTTCACCTCCGACAACATTCACATCATGATTCAATAATTTAGCATGAATGATATATGGAGAGAAACACTTCTCTTCTTTTGCCACTACCATAGAACCTTTGGATAGCTTTCACATATTATTTTTTGAATGTGTTGAAAAACCTTTCATAATCAAGTCTTCCAACCAAGATTAAATTCAAGCGAAAGTCGGGAACATACTTCACATTCTTTAAAACCAGTTTTACTCCAGTATGAGTCTTTAAGCACACATCTCCAATACTAGTAACTTTAGACAATTGTTGCCAATCCTTACTATCCAAAAATCACTAGGTGTGTATGAACTAAAAAACTCCTTATGAGATATAGCTTATATCGAAGCTCCACTCGTCAATTACCAAACTTTGCTCATTTGATGCTATCATCGGTATCATATGCAATCGAAACTCATCGGTTGCATTAACTCGGTCTTTATCAGCATCACTATTATTCTGCTTGGTTTTATTCTTCTTAGTTTCTTTCTTTAGTTTTTGGCAATATTTCTTGATGTCACCCATATCACCACATTGATAGCACTCCATATTTACAAACTTACCCCTAGACTTCATTCTACTCTTGCCTCTACCTTTTGGACTTTTACTTTTACTCATCTCCCTTTCTATAGTAACTAGCACATCGGATAGAGAAGAAGAATTTTGAGTCTTCCCATCAAGAACAGAATTGTAGTTTGACATACAAAAAGTCTCCCAAGAATCCAAGTAATGAGCCAAAAAACACAACCTAAGGATCTCATCATCAATTTCTATTTTCATGGTTTTCATTTGCTAAACAATTCCCACATACTCATTAATGTGATCGACTACTGAATTTTTCTCCTTAAACTTGTAATTCATCCACTACTTAATCAAGTACATCTTATTATTCTTAGTTTCCTTAGCAAAGAGATCTTCCAAACTTTTCCACAAAGCTTTAGCATTCACCTCTTCTGCAACATGATTAAAAACATTATCATTAATGTATTGACGAATAAAAGCACAAACATGTTCATTCTCAAATTTTCAATCCTTATCTATTTTTTTCGTCGGCTTAACCAAAACAAATACGGATAGATGCCAAATCTTTACATATAATAGATCTTTCATTTTTCTCTTCCACATGAGACAATTGATTTCATCCATACTTATCATTTTAAAGTTACTTTCTTTATTGTTCAAGCAAAAAATAAGCAACCGAGCTCGATACCACTTTGTTGGGCAAAGAAACACAAATAACATAGTGAAATCTTTTTACCCTTGCTTGAACAATCAAATAACGACTACGGACAAATACCCAAGACAAAACAAGTAACTAATAAGCGAGAAAAAAATAGAATATCAATCACGGAAAGAACACACAAATTTTACATGAAAAACCTCCTCAAGTTGAGAAGGAAAAACTACGAGATCAAAGTCCACAAAGACTTTCACTATCAACAATAATGGATAATATAAGGATTTCTCTCTAGATTAAACTAGAGGAATATATCAGCCATAAGTATCGAAGGTTACACATCCTTGGCAAACCTCATTAATAGATAATACACAAAGAAAAAAGAACTCGAGTTCAAATTTTGCTAGAAAATAGCACTATTGTGAGCATCTTATCTCACTCTCCAAGAATCAAAACCAGATCTTCACCATTCGGAATGTGCATATGTCGCTTTCAAACGTTCCCACCAAATTTGAGCTCGATTAAATAGTTAACGAATCCGAAACTCAATTTTACCGTGACTTATCCGTGCTTGAAACTTTCTTCCTTTTTTCTCTCTAATGTTGCGGCTTTCTTTTCTTTTCTTTTTCTCTCTACTTTATTCCCTAATCTAATTTTAGAATAAAAGAGAAGAGAAGGGTTTTTAAGAAATACCTAAATTACCCTTTAAGTGATTAAAATCCTCATTTACATGGGCTTCAAGATTGAAGTCACATAGATAAGCTTTTGGATCATCGTCCAATTAGAAGAGAAGCCCAACAGCACTTTCATATAGTGACAGCATAAAACAATTCTTAATGTTTATGCTTATAGCACCATCAATACATATGCTTGAAGCCGTAGAGCACTGCCAATGTACAAAAGTCACTTTTCGGCATGATTTTATAACAAAACAGATCATTTCCTTATACTAAAATGCAGTCAAATTCTCTAATGCACTTTTTTCAAAAAGTAAGCAGATTAAACAACACTAGAGCACTCACCACTCCATCCTCTTGGGACCTTGGGGTGTGAAAAGCTTCCAAAGGATCAAGGATCGTGTATAGATTTCCTTGTCCTATTCTCTTGGATTGTTTTGCTCTCTTTATGCATTCTGCATAGTATGTACAACCAGAAACAGTCACCATATAGAACCCCAACATTTATCGAAAATTAAAAGTGGGCCTTGTATGTTGGCCTAAATTCTTGATCTCAACTCTGCTTCTTTTCTAAATTACCTTAATTCCATCAAGAAAAGCTCGAGAAAGTTTTTGTCACTAGCCCTAGTCTCAAAAGTATGAAACGAATTGTTTTCACTTGTTGATTCAACACAAAATTCCAAAAATAAGGATATAGCAGTCGTCAATATATCACATTCTCTATTGAGAAAAAGTAATGCTGCAAGAGCATGGCAAGTTAGCAATTGAATTCTGACATGGCTCGAGAATTACCATTGGTTTGGCTAAAGCATCTGAACACTCATGATACATGCCTGAAATTTGTTTAAAGTCTAGTCAATGGATATTGCATGGACACCTACCAATTAGAACGTAAGACAGAATTTGTTTGCATGGAAGCTATTATGAAAAATCAAAGCCGAGAAATCTAAAATTTTGTTTTGAGCGTCAGCTTGGCAAAAAGACAGAGTGGCCAGGGAGATTTGGCCTAGGCAGCCTAAAGGTGTATGTCGCTTTCATATCCCATGCGAAAAGGGGGAATGCCTTTTAAGGAGTGATGTTTTTAACTGCCAAATTGCGATTCCTGCTCATAGCCCTTTAACATAGGTGTTAGACCTGACTAGATGATCACACTTCAGACGCATCTAAGGCTAAAAACTTCAGCACC